ACCCACACCAACTTGACGAATGGTACGTCCTGGCAGAGGAAGCAGAGATTGACCTACTGAAGAGGCACCGCCGAGGAAAACAATGGAGCTGCTCACCGCCTGAGTCGACATGTGAACCATTGAAGCCATCGGCTAGAGCCAAGAAGCAAATGGGGTGTTTCAAGTGTGGGAGAGAGGGGCATCAGGCTGTAGAATGCCGCTCAAAAGCCCTCCAGCACAACCCAGACAGTTCACTGGCCAGCAAATCCGGGAAGTCTCCAGCTAAGCCAAAAGAACCTACCATGAGAATGATGGAGGCTGTGGAATCCCCCACCTCTGCTCATCAGGAGGAAAGAACTCCAGCCTACACCGCAGGGCTGGTGGACGCCTCAGACGACAGCTCGGAGGGTGAACCCCTGGTAAGTGGACCCATCGCACCCATCCTCAAGACAGTGACTATATTAATTCCCCCCATGCCCGAAGCTATGAAGGTGAAAGCCTTAATAGACTCTGGCTGCACCCGCTGCCTCATTAGCCCGACGCTAGTGGGGAATCTGGGCATTCCGTCAAGGAGACTGGAACAACCAATCTCATTTGGCCAGTTAGATGGCTCCATAGCAGGGGGGTGCCAGCTACCCTAGCCACTTTACCAATACACCTCTCCCTGGGCAAACATGAGGAAGACATAACGTTTGTAGTGACCGCAGACATGAAATGCCCGATGATCCTAGGGATGGAATGGTTAAAAAAATGGAATCCCTGGGTGAATTGGAGGACGGCAGAAATCAATTTCCCGAAAGGGGACCCTATGGACTTAAAATCCCAAGGGGAGCTACCAAAATTAAGAATGGAAAAAGCATCCATGGGAGAGGAAAAGGTACTACCAGAAATACCAGAGGAATACAGAGATCTTGCTGAAGTTTTCAGTGAGGAGAGGGCGGATGAGCTCCCCCCCCACCGACCCACGGACTGTGCCATTGAATTCAAGCCTGGGGCAAAACTCCCAAAGCCCAGATTATACTCCATGAGACCAAAGGAAAAGGAGGAAATGGAAAGATTCATAAAGAAAAACCTAGAAAGGGGGTTCATTGAGCCAGTCAAACCTAAAGTGGCTGCCCTGGTCCTCTTTAGACAGAAGAAGGACGGCTCTTTACGCTTATGCGTGGATTATAGGTCCCTGAATACAATCAGTGAAAGCAACCTATACCCCCTGCCCCTCATGAAGGACATGTTGTCATACCTCTCGAAAGGGAAATTTTTTACTAAACTAGACCTAAGGGAAGTTTACTATCGCGTGAGAATTAAGGAAGGGGATGAATGGAAGACCGCATTTAACTGCCCCATGGGGTGCTACCAATTCAAAGTCTTGCCATTTGGATTAAAAGGGGGCCCCGCAGTATTTATGCAATTAATCAATGACGTTCTAAGGGAGCACCTATTTAAAAGGGTCCTGGTTTACTTAGACGACATTCTTATCTTCACCGAATCAAAAGAGGAACATGTCAACCTAGTCAGAGCGGTTTTTAAGAAACTGCGAGCCGCCCACCTATATGCCAAACTCTCGAAATGCGAATTCCACCAGGAAAGGATAGACTACCTAGGTTATCACATATTACCACAGGGCATTGAAATGGACCCAGAGAAGGTTAAAGCAGTATTAGAATGGGCACCACCCCGCACATGAAAGCAACTGCAAAGTTTCCTGGGCTTCGCAAACTTTTACCGCCAATTCATCCCCTCATTTGCCCATATAGCCCTGCCCCTCACGAACTTACTAAAAACGAAGGGAGCATCCTCAGTAAAACCTAGCCAGCCACTAACATGGACAATGGAGTGCCAAGCAGCGTTTGAGAGATTAAAGACTTTTTTCTGCCGAACCAGTACTGAGGCACCCAGACATGGATAAGCCCTTCATAATACAGGCGGATGCAAGTGAAGTGGCAGTGGGGGCTGTACTATTACAAGAAAACAATGAAGGGGTATTGCAACCCTGTGCGTATACATCCAAGAAACTCACGGAAACGGAACAGCGCTGGCCCGTGTGGGAGAAAGAGGCATACGGGATACGTTGGTCATTACTCACGTGGCGCCAGTTCCTTGAAGGCANGGGAAACGTTATATATACCTACAACCCAAAGAGTCACATTCATGCAGCTTTGCCACGACACAAAATCAGCAAGGCATTTTGGATTTGTAAAAACATTACACTTAATTAAACGGCAATTTTGTTGGCCATCCATAAAAAAGGACATAGAAAGTTACGTGGCCAGCTGCCCAAAGTGTGCAACTGCAAAGAGGTTGTAAGGGAAATCGCCCGGACTGTTACAAACAGTGGCAAATCCCTCAGCCCCCTGGGGGGAAATAGCCATGGATTTTATAGTGGAATTACCAGAAAGCAATGGGAATACTGTTGTCTGGACGGTCACAGACTTGTTTTCCAAACAGGTGCACTTTATCCCTTGCCAAAAGATTCCCACCGCAAAAGCCTTAGCAAAACTTTTCATCCAGCATATTTAAAGATTGCATGGGGCACCCCAACGCATCATATCTGATAGGGAAGTGCAATTTACGTCTGCATTTTGGAAGAAATTTTTATCCCTCTTAGGGACCACTCAGGGACTGACATCTAGCCATCATCCACAAGGGGATGGACAAACAGAACATTGTCACTCAGTACTTGAGCAATATTTAAGATGCTTTATTAATTTCCAGCAGTCCGATTGGACGGACCTACTCCCTTTCGCAGAAGTTGCCTACAATAATGCAGTCCACTCCAGCATAGGTTACACTCCTTTTCAAATAGCTACTGGTCAAAGTTTCAACCCCATGCCAGAACTAACCCCAAACGAACCGGCGATCCCATCACTAAAAGAATGGATGGAACAATTACAAAACACCTGGCCAATAGTTAGAAAAGCACTAGATGAAGCTAGGCAGGCATACAAAGCACAAGCCGATAAAAAAAGGGTTGAGCCTACACCATTCGTTATAGGAGAAATGGTGTACTTATCTACAAAATACCTAAAGTCCCTACAACCCTGTAAAAAACTTGAACCAAAATATATAGGACCTTTTCCAATTAAAAGAATCATAAACCCAGTAAGAGTAGAATTAGAATTACCCAAAAATCTCAGGCAAATACACCCAATTTTTCGTTGCAGCTTGCTGAAAAGAGAGCATCAGTTATTGTTACGGCCAAAAATCCCCCCACCACCTCCAATCATGGTGGAGGGCAAACAACACTTCGAGATAAAGGAAATCCTAGATTCTAGGAGATATCATGGAGCAACTCAGTACCTAGTAGCATGGAAACACCTCCCTGCCTCACAAAACGAGTGGGTCCATAAACATCATGTCAGAGCCCCGAAGCTATTAAAGAAGTTTCACACAGCGTATCCTAACAAGCCAGACTAACTTTTATATCTGTTTTGTTTTCTTTTCAGGTGGATCTCTCTTATTTTTAAGGGGGCAGAATGTCAGAATCCAATTATATTTCATCTCTAGTTATCGACTATGGAAAACCCCATTTCTGCCCTCTCTGTCATACTATGAAGGGGAAGGGGGATGAGCAAAGGGGTTTATGGCTCTCACTTCCTTCATTAAAACTTCAAAGGGACTGAATGTGGATCTCACCAAGAGGACTAACCATAACAATATGGCCATCACCTTTCATGTACTACTCTCTTGAAGTCTCCCTTCCTCTGGCCGTGAGGAAAAGGGGGTGGAAATGTAACGCCTGGGATTGTCGCTGGAAGGACGGTGGGGTGAGGGGCTGTTTGGGAACGCTTAAAACCTTGAATGGTAGGAGTGGGCCCTCAGGTCCTGTCTAGAACGCCTGCAACCATCTTCTCTTAATAAAGATGCCTGTTGGAAGAAATATTCCAAGAGTTCTGTCTTCTTAAGATGCAAAGTGGGGTGGGTCCTTACCGTTTGCTTCTTTTCTTGCAGACATTTCATTAACCTAACTAGGTAACATCATCAGTGTTAGTAAGGAAAACCAAAAGACCCAACAACCCCAGAAGAAAAAACAGGAGTCATCTACAACATACAATGTAACAACTGCAACAAGTGCAACAACCACTATGTAGGACAAACAGGCAGAAAACTGGCAGAATGCATCCATGAACATCAACTGGCAGTCAAAAGGCATGACAAAAATTCTTTAATTTCATAACATATAAGATTTAACCATAGTTTCAACTGGGAAAATATGACAATCCTAGACCAGGCCAAATCCTAAACTGCCAGGGAATTTCTAGAAGCCTGGTACTCTGACAAATCAGCCATCAATAGATACATAGATATTAACAACATCTATAGACTATGCAAAAGAGACAATGAACTAGTCCAAAAGAGAAAAAAGACTCCAGCACCTTTCCACCAATAATTAGTACTCAGATAAGCATAGATTAACTCCAAGATCAGCACTCAGATCAGCATAAATTAGCTCCAAGATCAACTTCAGACCAACAATCAAGTAAGCAATACCCCAATCAAGAAACTGCCAAAGAGCCATTAGTAAACAGTCCAACCAAAGAATCCCTAAAACCACCCACACCCACACAGACAGGCAAGACACCAGAACATAAACTGACAGCAAATTTACTAGAACTGATGTTACCTAATTAGGGTAGTGAAATGTCTGGAAGAAAACAAGCAAGCTCAGAGAGCACCAAGGATCCCTCAGAACCTAATGTGTTCAAAAGGGTCATTTAAGTTCTATTTTTCCTGAATTTACATATTCATGTTCCAAATCAAAGATTTAATAATTTCAAATAGTATTTGCAAAATATAAAATAGTGCAACAATACAGACTTATTTAGCAATGAACCTTGTTAATAGAATCATAGAATCACAGAGCTGGAAGACACCTTGGAGGTCTTCAAGTCCAACTCCCAGCCCAAGGTAGGAGTCCTTATTCCATCAAAGTTTTGTTCACATTCCTGAAGTATTACATTACATTTTCTTATGCTCTTCTTCTTATTCCTGTTTTTATATAATGTATTCTAAGTTCATCTTACCTGGGAGTGTTATTCTTTTCAAAAAGAAGTCAAGTCCTATGGTTTGCTTGTATTGCTTTCCAAAAGTATCATGAACAAAACGAGTAGCTAAGGAGGTCTAAAAAGAAAATTATATTTAATTCAGAAACAATGAACAAAAAATCTAAATTTAAACTCTATTATTTCTAATACTTTATTTCTTTTACTTATGGTAATATTAAGCAATTTTGTAATACTGCAAAAACTTTACTCATCATCACAACTTTAGGATCACTCAAATATTACTGTAACTAATCAATTAACTAAATACTAACAATAAATAAAAAATGTTGCAATTTGGAATATTATACAAAGAAATTGTCACCTCCTGAAGCTCTGGCTACTCAATTGAAATATACTGAGTAAGTGGAATAAGGAAGACAGAGGAATGCATATCTGTTCTTCATTCTTTTAAACACTGCTAGTGAAACATAAAAGAAAGCAATGAATGCTGTTACTGAAAAGAGGTTAGATCACTTTCAGCAACAGTATCTCAACAATCCTTCTCAACATTCTTTCTGTTTAAAAAAGGAACTCCCTGAAAACAATATGGAGTTGGACTAAATTTGAACTGTATCTCACCTTCAAGTCAAAAGGTATTTATTTTAGGGTTTTTTTAATCTAAAAATCCCACATTTATTATTATAAATTCAAAGCAGCGAACATACCTAATACACCTTATATCTTTCCCCACAATAACAACCCTGTGAGGTAAGTTGGACTGAGAGAGAGGAATTGGGTCCAAGTCACCCATGTCTCTTCCATGCCTACAGTGGGACTAGAACTCCCAGCATAATGGTTTCTTGCCTGTGCCTTCACTACTAGACTGAATTAGCTCTAGATCAAAGTTCCTAAAATGAAGAATGCATTATCACATAAAGCTTTCTATTCCCGCCCTTCATTTAACTAACTGACCTTCAATCACTGTCTTTTCACTGTAGTTTTCTTTGGGCTTTTTGTCTTCAGAGTTTCACCTACCCACAGTAAAATATTTCCAAATAAATCTATTTTGAATTTGTACTCAGAATATATGTACACATATAACTTGTATGTATGTATGTATGTATGTATGTATGTATGTATGTATGTATGTATGTATGTACTGTATGTAGAAAAACTCATGTATACCTCACAGAAAAAAATTATCTGATGTATTATTATAAAACCAAATTACATTATCAGTTGGCAGGCCATTATTTCCTGCTGTAATTCCAAATACATTTTTTCCCAATTTGCACATATAGGTACCTAATAATCAAAATGGATGTGAGCTTTACAGGTATTAACATATCCTGAATTGCACCCAAGCTAAGAAATATACCGTTGGTGACTGCTTTCTCCTCACCTTTTCTACCATTAGAAAAGGAATTCAGATTTTCTTCTTCAGTAAAGTTTTACTTTTAAGTTTTACAAATAAAAAATTGCTTTCTCAGTGGACTTCTACTCAATACTAGGTGGAAGGGCTCAGTGATGATGGGATAAGATAAGGTCTCCCTTGCTAATATGAGCAAATGGGGAGGAGGGCAGGTGGAACGCAGCAGATATGAAGAAAGCGAACCAAATCAACACAGCAAACTTGAAAAGCAGTACTGTATGATCAAGAACACCTCATGGACACAGCTGAAACAACAACTTTGGATGCCAAATGGTGAGAACCCAGGTCAGAACATACTGGACAGTCACTAAACTTTCACAAGCAGATCTGGAGCTGATGGTGTAAACAGACAACAAGGGTAAAGACACTTATTCATTGAAAGTATCAGTACTGAAAGAATTCCTAGGTTTGCAGTCAGAATATGGAAGATAGTATAATAGACTATAATATACAGTGAGGAAAAAGATTATTTGCTCCCCTGCTGATTTTGTATGTTTGCCCACTGGCAAAGAAATGATCAGTCTATAATTTTAAAGGTAGATTTATTTTAACACTGAGAGACAGAATAACAACAAAATAAATCCAGAAAAATGCATTTCAAAAAAGTTATAAATCCTCTCCAAGTCATTAAGCTTTCGAGGCTGACGTTTGACAGCTCGAATCTTCAGCTCTCTCCACAAATTTTCTATGGGATTGTTGTTGTTGTTAGTTGCAAAGTCGTATCCGACCCATTGCGACCCCATAGACAACGTTCCTCCAGGCCTTCCTGTTCTTTACCATCTTCTGGAGTCCATTTAAGCTCACGCCTACTGCTTCAGTGACTCCATCCAGCCACCTCATTCTCTGTCATCCCCTTCTTCTATTGCCCTCAATCTTTCCCAGCATTAGGCTCTTCTCCAGTGAGTCCTTCCTTCTCATTAGATGGCCAAAGTACTTGAGTTTCAACTTCAGGATCTGGCCTTCTAAAGAGCAGTCAGGCTTGATCTCCTCTAGGACTGACCGGTTTGATCGCCTTGCAGTCCAGGGGACTCGCAGGAGTCTTCTCCAGCACCATAGTTCAAAGGCATCAATTCTTTGGCGCTCAGCCTTTCTTATGGTCCAACTTTCACAGCCATACATTGCAACTGGGAAAACCATGGCCTTGACTATACGTACTTTTGTTGGCAGGGTGATGTCTCTGCTTTTTAGTATGCTGTCTAGATTTGCCATAGCTTTCCTCCCCAGGAGAAAGCGTCTTTTAATTTCTTGGATGCAGTCCCCATCTGTGGCGATCTTGGAGCACAGGAAGATAAAATTTGTCACTACCTCCATTTCTTCCCCATCTATTTGCCAGGAATTGAGAGGGCCGGATGCCATGATCTTGGTTTTTTTAATGTTGAGTTTCAAGCCAACTTTTGCACTTATTTTGCTTAGTAATACAAGTTAAGCCCTACTCTCCCGTTTTTCCAGCCATTGATAAAATAAGTTCCATGTTTGAAAATATTCTGTATCTTCTTTTTCTTTGATTCTCAATGTAAATCTGACCATTTCAGCACAGTCCAGTATTTTCTTGATTATCTCTTCGGGTTTCCAGTTGATGTCGTGGTGGAACAGGTGAGGGAAAGCGGAGCTCCGCTTTCCACTGCTGATTTCATCCTGCCAGGGATCCTAAGGGGCTGAAAGTCACCCCGGAGAGGCAGCAATAAAGGAGGGAATCCTTGTCAATCATGGGCAGACATGAAAGGAAGAAGAGGATTTCCACCCCGCCCCACCCCACCAGAAAAATGAAAGTGGCAGCAAAATTTTCAGGGGGACTGGAATAGAGAATATAGAACCGTGGTGGTGAACTTATGGCACACGTGCCACAGGTGACACGCAGAACCCTCTGTGGGCACACACGCTGTCACCCCAGTCCTAGGCCTCTGCCGCCGTGTGCAAAAAAATAAGTTCAATCAATCAATTTCAACTTCTCGCGGGAAAAAAAATCTCACAAAGTTGGAATTGCTTGATTGAACTTTATTTTCAGTCCCAAACAGCAGCGGAGGAAGTGATGTGTTGGAGCTGGAAAAAAGGTGCCGTGGGAGTGGGGGGAGCGGCGGAAGCAGGGCGCTCCATGCGAGGGGTGGGGGGGCCTGTTGCTTCCTTCCCCCTGCCAGACATCTGCCGAAGCCACACAGAGTAAGGTTGACGCCCCCGCCCCCGCCCAGATGCTCTTGCCTCCCCCAAGCGTTTTTTTTTTACTAACCTTCCTTTCAGCTGCATTCTGTTTCTCCATTCACTTCTCAGATCTCGTGAAAAGTTAGAAAGTCTCATGGAACTTTTTTTTGTCCCACAAACACGTGGCGAAGGTTGAGAAACGGACGGAGAACCAGAATGTAGCTGAAAAGCAGGTTAGTAAAAATATGCTTGGGTGAGTCAAGGGCATCTGGGCGGGGGCAGGACAGCAACCTTGCCCTGCATGGTGGCGGGAGGGTTAACGGTGGGCAAAGGGGGCTCAGGAGGCGCTGCGCAAAGCAGGCGGAGAGGAGGCCAGGCAGATTGCGGGCGCCACTTTCCTCATCCGTGCTGCCGCCACTGCCATCACTACTGCTTTGGTCAAAGCGACCCAGCCATCGCTGCTGCCACTGTGGCACCACCCGGTTCTGCCGCTGCCATGCTGCTGCCATACTGCTGCCCCACTATGGCCCCGGGCAGTGCCTCTGCCCTGCATGGCTGTCCCACTTGCGCCCACGATTGGCATCTGCACCACCGTCGGCACCCCGCAGTCCCGCCAGGCTCCACTCTGGCCCCGGGCAGTGCCTCTGCCCTGTGCGGCTGTCCCGTTTGCACCTGCGATCGGCCTCCATGCCGCCATCGTCGGTACCCTAAAGTCCCACCCGGCTCCGCTCTTGCCCCGGGCAGTGCCTCTGCCCTTTGCGGATGTCTCTTGCCCAATGTCGCTGTCATGAGGCCGTGGAACAAGCCGGGTGGAGGTAAGGAACCGGGTCAGGATGGCAGGAGAAAGGCGCTCTGCAAGGGATGGGTCCGACGCATGTGGGGCTGCTGCCTCACTTTCCTTTCCCTGCCAGGGCTGGGCTGGACTGGGCGTGGAGCCTCCATGTTGCTTCCTCCCCTGTGGACATCGGGAGCGCCCACACCGCCTACCCCCCATCCTGGGGTGGCTGCCGCTGTCCCACGCTCTCCAGCCCATCGCCAGTCAGCTGGTGCACCCAGCTGACTGGCGATGGGCTGGAGAACGTGGGATGGCGGGCAGATGGAAGCCGAAGGGGAGTGAGAGCCACAGCTGCCCAGCTCCTCCGCCTGAGGACGCATGCGGGGAGAGGCGCCACCCAGCTCGGTAAGCCGCGGTCTGCCCACAGGAGGATGGAGGACTGGCCAGGGACAGGCGCAGCGCTGCCCATGGGGGGAATCTGACGAGCCCCAGCCTGGAGGGGGAAGGAGAGGCTGAGGGAGCCCGAAGGGAGGCATCCCGGCATGCCCAGCTAGCCGGCAACAGGCTGGAGAGCGCCAGACTGCAGCAGCTGCCCTGGGACGAGGGATAGGCGGGGTGGGCGCTCCCGATGTCCGCGGGGGAAGAAGCAGCAAGGAGGCTCCATGCCCAGCCCAGTTCACCCTAGCCCCAGCATGGCAAGCGAGGCAGCAGCCCTATGTGCGTCCCCTGCCAGGCAAGTGGAGCCGAGGCATCTGCAGCAGAAGAGCGCAGGTGGGCAGCGGAAGGCACGAGG